ACCATCTGATTATACCAGTAGCCTCTATCACAAGAGTGAAAAACAAGTGAGAACAGGATTGCCTTAGAGCTCTCTCATGATGGTTTAGTAGTAAATTAGGCTGTATCTGAGCCTTACTTAAAAGGAACAATTTATGTATCAAAACTGAAAGTTTTGAGAGCTAAAAATGAAGCCTGGATCTGCCAGCACAAGCAGGAGAAACAGAACTGATTCGCAACAATGGTGATCAATTTTCAAGGGAAAACATTTTTAGAGATCACCCTTTCTGACAGTTTCTCCACGACTTTAATTTCGGCATCAATATCGTAGTCCAAAGAAATATTTTATGAAAAATCAAAATTCAGTTCTTCCTTTATCCAAGAGCTTACACTCATATATGAAGCAGACTATCAAGGTTTTCAAAAAAGAGTTTTCGATCCAAAGCTGGTACATGTATGAAAACTGGTTATAAACACAAAAAGGGCAGCATTCGATGTTTGTCTCCAGTAATTATGGTTTACTGGGATAAGCTGGAACACTCCAGTGAGGAATATTATTTACAGTGCATTATCTGAAATAAAATGTGATCCAAAAGCAGTTAAAAGAAGAGACAGCTAAGTGTGAAATTTTCTTTGTAGTCAGCTGCTGATCCACAGATGAGTCATTCATAAAGGATCACTCATATTTCATCTCATCACCATCTCTGAATCTTCTGAAACCTTTTCCAGAGGTTCAGTTTAGACAGACGTGCTTCAGTCATCATGCCACCTTCATCAGTGCTTCACCCAAGAATACAGGGCAGAGTTTTCCTCTCCCCACTGCTTTTCTTTGTCACCTCTGCAACATGAGAACACTGGCTGTGCCATCTCCATGCTTCAAGAGCTCTTTCTTACACCTGGGGCTATTTGGCTTTTTGGCTTTAACACGTGGACAGAGCTGGACAGCAAACCGTAATGGGAGCAGTGAATCCAACAGACAGCTCAGCAGGAGCAGCTGGTGGAGCCCTCCTCAACACAGCAAGCCTTAGTGTAGTGTATCAGGAATAACTCAGAGAGAACTACCTAAAAGTCTGGCAGTGGTGTGGCACGTCCATATCAGCAGCAGCAGCAACATGGGGGGTGGCTGTGCCAGTTGTGGTTTTTCAGACCTGTAACCTCTGATACAGGACCATGCAAATGCATGCATGAGAGAGTTACTGAGCATGAAGAGTAACTGCTTTGCAAAGCAATTATCAAATAAAACACAAACATACCCACATCTGTGGGTTTTGTGGTCTAGAACATTTTTGTTACTAAACCTCCCTTTCTTTACAGTGAAATAAGACTAGTAAAGCATGAAAAGCCCTTTTGCTGCTATAAGAGGAGTGTTTATAACCAATGCAAAGCACCGCACTGTGAGGGCTCCTATGGCGAAACGAACTCCATCTCAGCCTGGCCCAACACAAGAGAGAGACACTGCCTCAGTAGCACTCCTAGTCTTGGAAACCATAAGAGCAAAGCTTGAACTCGGGGCCTGAGCACCAGAAAATATATTGAGCTGCCTCTGCTCTGCTAGTACTGCCTCCCAACACAAACAAGTGATTTCCACAGCACCGCAGCCCCTCCTGACTCAGGCTGGACCTGACGCAGCACAGAGTTGTCCTGTCACTACACCCACAAGATACAATATCTGATGTGGAAAATAAATGAACTAACGTTTGTTTGATTTTTCATTTGGTTTGATTTGGTTTATGTTTTGCTTTGTTTTTCCAATGCCCTGAGCTAGCACTCTAAATCAGCGACAGAGAGCTCAAGCACAAGCAAATTCAATTGCTAAAATAAAACAACAACACAAATCAGTCCAAAATAGCAGTCAGAAATAAACTAATAATAATGCCTTCTTCCAGTTTTATATTTGAACCCTTTACAATCTTCTTTCCAGCACAGCATACACTTTGACAGCCATGAAACAGCGGTGACAGCTGCAAAGAGGGCTGCCTGCTTTTAGGCATTCTCCCTTTCTTTAAAAATGTCACTCAGACACAAATCACATGAGATTTTGAGTATTTCCCAGGGTTAGAACCCTTCCCTTTCTGAATGGAACTACTCTCCATGGAAGCCTGAAGCCTCACCGAAATCACAAACCCAATAATTTCACCGAACTTGCACAAGGTACTCTTCATCTGTGTCTCTGAGCCTCTCTTACTGTGCAGTATGCTCTCCAGTCTGTGAGCCTCTCCCAGAACATCAGCACCTGAGTCCCAACTTTAAAGCAAGAAGCAAGCAACTGTTTTTCCAAACAGATTCAATGATTTGCAAGAGCCACCAAAGGAGAGACTGGAAGGTAATCCCTCTTTACTGACCCTGAAGAGGTCTGAACCGAGGTTGTAGAGCTTTCAGATAGTCTTCCATAGAAGTGTGTTCAAATCTCTAGCATGACGATATCCTGCTACATCCATGCATAGCTGTGCAGAATGGTGTATGATGGGTATGATCCAGAAGCATGGAAACCATTTTCATTTTCCTGATTCAGGACTGCAGTGTCTCAAAGCCTTGGTAAACTCTGTTTGAAGTAGATCTGCCAGATGAATTTTCCCTGAGATGCTCATACTGAAATCAATGGGATGTCTTACCTGTTCTGACCAATTGCCTCTGCTTCGCATTTGCCAGTGTTTCTGAAATGCGAAATTCAAATCTGACATCCTACATCCATTGAATCTGCATTTTCTGTCTATGCTTTGTTTCAAAGATTTCTGGTTAGCTCTACCTAATGTTTCTGTCTGTTCCTGTCGCATGCTGGCACTGCTTCTCCAAAGGCACTGAATCCAGTAACTGCAACAAAGCTGTGTTCACTTTACCAGCTGAGGCCTAGGGACAGAATGTTTTCTACACAGAATGGGACCATATCTCGTTTTTTATCCTGTGTCATTTGAACAGTAGTCACAGTCAGTATGAGTACATATGATTCTACAAAGCATACAGAGTTCCCTTTTGCAGCTGGGACTCCAAGGGACAAAGTAACACACTCTTCTTTCAACTCTCGTGTACTGAATTTGTGTCCTTATTTCACAGAATCATAGAATTGCTTAGGTTGATAAAGACCCCTAAGGTCATCGAGTCTGACCCTTAACCCAGCACTGCCATGTTCACCACTGAACCATGTCCCCAAGGGCCACTTCCACACACCTTCTGAACTTCCAGGGATGGCGATTCCAACACTTCCTGGGACAGCCTGTTCCAGTGCCTGACTCCCTTTTCTCTGAATAAATGTTTCCTCAGTATACAATCTAATCCTCCCCTGGTGTAACTTGAGGCCTTAGCTCTCATCCTGCCACTTGTCATGTCAGAGAAGAGACCGACTCCCACCGATCCCTGCCACCCTACAGCCATGTCTCTAAGTGCCACATCTGCACATCTTTTAAGTATCTCCAGGGATGGTGATTCAAGCACTTTCCTGGGCAGCTTGTTTCAATTTTTGACAACTGTTTCTGTGAAGAAATTTTTCATTCACACATGGTTGATATCAAACCAGCAGAAAAATCAGAACAGTTCATGTTATTGCTTAGGATGGTCCAGAAGCAAAAGAAAAGGTTGTAAGTCAAAAGCAAGTTAAAAAAAAAAAATAAAAAAAAAAGGTTGATATACAGTATAAGCAGATCCAGCATTTAAAAGTTCCAAGAACTGGGTATGAAAATCTACACTTTCATTAGTTAAGGTTATGATTACTTAGACAGTATAGATGAATTGATCTCAAGGTATAGAAGAGCCATCAGACATGGAGTGATATCGGGTTCATTAACAAGTCTTGTACTGAATTATGTAAATCATTTAAATGGATGAGATTCACCAGATGGTTTCCACCAGGAGATCTGAACCTTAGTGCATACATCTGCATTACCTGCTTGCAGCTAAAATCTTCTCCATAGCTTTCAAATCTGATACGCTTTTATTTCCCCATCTGTATTTTTTTATTATAATGACTACTTATTTTTCCAGGAAAGGGAGTACATTCTTCCTTATATCTTAGTTCTAAGCAGTGCTGCCAACTGTGATGAGAATTTGGTTTCATAATATAGTGGACAAAGAATGTGTTTATTGGTTCAGAATTTTTTCACAGATATGAGTGCCGATAATTAGGTGTAGTTCTGCATTAAATTTATTATAGCAGAGAGAATCATTAGGGTGAAAAAATATAGCCTGAAATTACTTTTATGATACTGGTTTTGATAAACAGGTAGTAGTTTAGTCCCTGTGAACTCTTCTAATTTATAGCTGATAGAAAAAACAGTCTTACCCAACAGAACTGAATAAAAAAGCCTCATTGGGAACATTTTAGTCAAAAAAAAAAAGTTCTATTCAAACTGACATGGCTTGTTAATGTCATTGACTATTGAATACCTTGAATTTGTCTTCCAAAGATAAAAAAAAAAAGTATTCACTGAATGAAGTGATACTTCAGGCAAGGAAATAATAGGCTGGAGGGTAATCAGCACAGACCTTGCCAATACTGTGCTTTGCAAATCAATCCGAAAGTTTCTCTAGGACTTATACTTTTCTGCTGGTCTTAAATAGCAGCAGATGACAATGCCATACACAACATTAAACTATGCTGGCCAATTAATTAGCATGGCAGAACTAATTCTTTATCTCTTCTCTCCCATGGTAAATGCATCTGCTCTAACTGAAGTGAGAAAAAGCCTGCTCCGACCCTGGATTCCCTTATGTAGGTTCTTCAAATCACAGTTAGATTATACTTGATTAAGACAAATAAATGCCTTTGTAGATCTGAGCCTTTATTTTCAAGGTAGCTGCAGTCCCACTGTCTTCTTACAGTTACTTGTCATACAGATCATACTCACTTCCATGTCTGTATACCTAAATATATTCTTCTATGTCGGTTCTTGAAAACAAAAATGCTGAAGTTTGTCCACAAAAAGAAAATGCGATTGGTGATGTTTTTAAGGAGCCTGTTTGGTTTATTTCATGACGACAGTCTTCATAATAAAAGAATAGAGAGAATATATATAGATTAAAGAAACCTACCCGACTGCCTTCAAACCTTGAGCGATCATTGTTTGCCTTTGTTGTTTTTTCTGCAAGTTTCTTCTGCCTTTGAGGGCCTTTTCCAAAGAAAATGTAGTTGACAAAGGCGTATTCAAGTAAGGCCAAGAAGACAAACACAAAGCAGCCCATGAGATACATGTCAATGGCTTTAACATATGGAATTTTAGGCAAAGTCTCTCGCAGGTGAGTGTTGATTGTTGTCATTGTCAGCACGGTTGTAATTCCTACACAAAGAAAAAAAGAGCACATGTCTTACAACTGCAAGCACCCCATGCTTCAATTTTACTCTCCTTGCAAATATGCCTTGTCAGTGTGAAGAAGCTTAAAAATTTGTGAAAGATATCTTGCAGGTAACATTGCTGCAAATGAAAGCAAAATAAAGTTTGATGCATTATTATTCTGTTACAATTATTTTCTTCATGTGATTGGGGGAACAGCTAACAAGGGGGTCTGGCACCCTCCTGTGAGTTAAGGTAGCTTCATGGAAGCCAGTATAGCTTAATTGGAAATCTCTACCATGAAGCCAAACAGGAAGAGTATTCATATAGATGGTGAAAGGCTTCTCCTACACAGATTTAAATTTCTAAGAGTTAAACAGCTGGTTGACCTTGGCCCTGTAAGGCTCCCCTTTAGCAGACAGAGAGAGACAGGCACCTTTCTGGAGTAGTTCATCCCTTCTATTTTAGACACCTATTTCAGGAAGGACAATGTATAAGTGGAATTTGATGACTAGTTTGGAGCAGTAGGCTAGTTACATAGAAAGAAGTGAGGAGAGCAGTGAAAGGCAGACGGGTATGTGCATCTGTGGAAAGAAAAAGGAATGAGAGCACCCTTTTTATAGTGACCAATTGGACACTAATAAAATATCTAGAGAAATCTATGAGGTTTGTCAGACCCCCAGTTATTTATCTAAGGATGAACATAGCACCTGAAAATATATTACAGAGCACTGTTCTGAAAATCTGGAAAGAAAAGCAAATTTATTGTCAGTCTGCCTGAATTCACAGTAAACTTCAGGATCTGTACCTCTGTTGGAAATTTTATGGGAATCACAAATCACAGGTTGCTGAAAACACTGACTTGTTTAATAAGTCTACATTTCAGGGCAAGCCATTCTATTATGTTCCCTCCATTACTATTTTCACTGATTCCATAATTATACCATCCGTTTGTAAGTAATCACTAAAATGCAGGCAGAACAAAAATAGAGGACGAAAGAAAATTGCTACCATATAATAATGCACAGCTTCTTTTACCTGAAGAGACAGAAATAAAGACAATACAACTCAAAATCCAGCTGTCAGTGGTAAACAGTGTCACTCCAGGGAACTGCAGTAGTACCCTATGAGATTCTGTAACATATATTTTGTATATTTAGTATGTCAGCATCATGTGGTTTTCCGTGCTTTTCCTCTAAATTGTGAAACAAGTGTGTGTTGATGTCAGATGTTTGCTGCTCCAGAAGATTACGCACACTGAATAGAAAGGTGGCTATCACTAACCAAATGGAAATACATTCCCTGGGAGATCCTGAAACCCTGCAGGCAAATGTCCTTCTGAAGGTCAATAATTTATTTTAAAGCACAACATTCCTTATGATAAAAAAATAAGCTAATCTTGTGATTACAGCCCTTCCCGCAAGTGAGAACTCTCGAGATTATTTTTCTCCTCACTCAAAGATCTCCATTTAGGAACTTCTAAAGCTAACTAACAAAAAGTTGAGAGCGCAGAATTGATAGGTTTGAACATTTCTCTTGAGATTAGCCCTGTACCAGCCTCTACCTGCACTGTCCATAGCACACAGTCTCTGGAATGAGCAGACCTTTGCTCCATACCTCAGCTCCACTCTAGAGGCAACTATTTGGTTCAGTGTAGCAAGGGACCAGGGACAAGAGCAAAACGTGCAAGTGCACAAACTAGAATCATGTTCTTGCAGTGAATAGAGGCTTCCTGTAGGGGCTGAGTAAAAGGTTGTCTCTGTGTCCCAAGAACTGCACAGGAATGCTTCCTCTAACAAATACCTAGGCCAGCAGGTATACCTTCTCTGTACTGCCCTTTTCAGAGTCAGTCACATACATCCAAAGGTGCTGTATTGCCTTTAACACACTTCGTATCAGCTTCAGACTCATGAGGGGGGCTACACAAACAACGTAGGATAAGAGCCATGGTACTGAACTTTATTATACAAACATCACAGACATAATCACCAATGCACTAATTGTTTTTCAGAAGAAACCATTAGATGGATTTTTGTCCTCTCAAAAGGACTTTCTATCAATCAGAAATAGAACATTTGGTCTCCTGAGCTTGCCTTGTACTCTTTGACTTTTGTTCTAATATTTGTCTTACAGCACTTGATGAACTTGTGCTACACAGAAATTGGCCACAGGAGACAGTCCTGTTCCTTAAACAAGGAAAAGTCTTATGAACCTATTATAGAAGGGCATGGAATGTCACTGGGTTTGGTAACTTCTGTCTAACCATCTGTTCTCTGCAGTTATGGCCGGTAAAAATGTAAAATCTAGATGCTGACTGATGTGTTTGAAGTGCTCCCCTCACTTGGTCATAGTGCCTCCAGCAGAACTCTGGTATCCAGTAGTTCATTTATGAATATATCAGAGATGTTTGGACTCTCTGCCACACATCCTATTAAGCTACTACTTAGCTGCAAACTGCTGAACACACTCGAGCTGCTGAGTGTGTCATGCCAGATTGTATCACACCTATACTATACCAGGTAATCCACAGTATCTGCAGTAACTGCAGTTAATCTACAATATCTTCAGCTACCCAAGTTCAGATGCTAGGATGTAATATGATGAAGCACAAGGATATAGCTGTCTACCCTGCCTGCTTTGGTATGTGGCACCATGGGAGGTATGGGGTACAGAAATGGGAAGTCATATAGGCATAGTTGGAGTCTGGGTTTGCTGTGGTACATTACAGAAAAAGAAGGGAGCTAGGGAATATCTTTCTGTTTCAAGAAAATAAGAGAGTACTTCAAGAAGTTAGCACAGACTTAGTGACAAGCTCTGGATAGTAAGGATGTGATATTGGGAAGCACAGAATCTGGGACAAGACGACATGCAGCAGTATTCATAAGGATTTATAGATCCATTTAATCTTCCTTAACTATAGTCATCCTTGAGTATGCTTCTGTAAAAGATTAAGTATTTGCTGTGAGATGTTGTCATAGAATCTGTCCTGGTTCTGGCCAGGACAGGGTTAATTTCTGCAGTAGCCAGTAGGGGGCATGGCTAGGACCAGAAGGTTATTCTATACCACTCATTGGTAGGGGGCGGGGGGAAAGGGATTCTTTTTCCAGAAGGAAGGGCTCTCCCTGGGATGGGGTGGTGTGGGTGCAGTTGGGTCGCAGGTTCCACAGTGAGCATTTTTGCTTGTGAATCAATCTCTCCTTTGTACACTTTTGTTATTAATATTGTTGCTGTTATTAATTTTATTTTCTCATTGCTGTTTTTATCTCAACCCATGATCTTTGCCTTCTGTGCCTCCAGTTCTCCTCTCCAGCCATCCACAGTGGAAGGAGAAGGGGGGAGGTGGAAGTGAGCAAAATTGTGGTTTTCGTGGTAGCACTAAATTGTAGAATACCATTCCTAAACCATGACAGAATCACCAAAGGGTTTGGCTTAGAAAGGACCTTAAAGACCATCTAATTCCAAGTCTGCTGTCATGGGCAGGAACACCTTTCATTAGATCAGGTTGCTCAAACACACATCCAACCTGGCCTTCAACACTTCCACAACTTCTCTGGGCAGCCTGTTCCAGTGTCTCACCACCCTCACAGTCAAGAATCTCCTCCTAATTTAAAACTACTCTCTCTCAGTTTGAAGACATTCCCCCTTGTCCTATCACTACATGATCTTGTACAAAGACTCTCCCCAGCTCTCTTGTGGGCCCCCTTCATGTACTGAAAGGTGTCATAAGATCTCCCTGGAGCCTTCTCTTCTCCAAGCTAAACAAACTCAACTCTTTTGGCCTGCCTGGAGAGGTGCTCCAGTCCCCTGATGATCTCTGTGTCCCTCTGGACTCACTTGAACAGGTCCACAACAATGCTGGGGATCCCAGAATTGGATGCAGTACTCCAGTTGGGGTCTCACAATAGTGGAGTAGAAGGACAGTATCACCTTCCTCAGCCTGCTGGTCACACTGCTTTTGATGCACCCAGGATACAGTTGGCTTTGGGGACTGCAAGTACACATTGCAGGGTCACATCAAGCTTCTCATCAACCAACAGCACCAAGTACTTCTCCTCAGGGCTGCTCTCAATCCATTCTCCACCCAGCCTGTACTTGTGCTTGGGATTGCCTGACCCACATGCAGGACCATTGACTTGGCCTTGTGGAATTTCATGTGAGTCCACTCCTCAAGCTTGTCAAGGTCCCTCTGGATAGCATCCCTTCCCTCCAGCGTGTCAACAGTACAATTTTCTAGTCACCTTCCCTTATTTAAAGGATCCTTTGATCTGAAAAGGTTTTGGACAGGGATCACCAAACTGTACCAAATCCATGTTTTTCTGTCATGAGATAAATGGCATTTTAGGTTGTCATAAACATGCACTTAGCCCACCATGTATTCTGAGGGTTAGGTGGAGTGTTATAGCTGATGTGCCCCTGTGTGCTGAACTAGCAATGGTCCTTGAATTTCGCTTCCTGCAGCATCAGTTAAAGAACCTGGGACCTCAGGAGAAGGCTTGGAGCCAGATTTGTCTTCCCACACTGAGTTGGACCACAAGCCCACGCTCAAGTATGACTGTGGAGCTGGTCTCCTAGATGAAGTTACTGACAACAACATTAACTTTGATGAGAACAAGTCTAGGACCTGTACAAGCAGCTCATGTCAAGAGATTTAGTGGTTGCTTCATTCTTGCATGCAGGGGAAAACTTATCACTTTTGAAGCAATACTGGATGACATGATTTTGACGTAAATTATTCTGGAATATCAAAACACTGACATCACACTGTAGTTTTTAACAACCTCTGAAGGCTATATTCAGTATGACATTTTAATGTCCCACTCATTCTTAGCACATACCAAGGGCAACTCTTGCTGCTGATGCATCATAATTGATCCAGAATGACACCCATGATAAAATGGTAATCAGTATGGAGGGCATGTAGGTTTGAAGAATAAAGTATCCAATATTTCTTTTCAACCTGAAGCTCAGTGAGAGTCTTGGATAGGCACCTGAGGAAAGAGAGGGGAAAACAGCATTTTTTATATTGAAGAAAAGACACTTGTGGATAGTTGCCTTCAGTTTCTGCAGAAACTGAAGCATGCACGTTTTATGAGTTAGTATGACATCTGCAGAACACTACGGAAAACACCTTCACTGTATTACTCACTGGCATTAAAAGAAGCTTTTCAGTGAATATAGTGATGTCCAAGTAATTTGTATTTGGGAAGAAAAGAGACAGAATAAGTTACTTTGAATTACTGAACAGATGGGTGAGCACTGATTAGTTTTTAAAAACAAATGTTTGGGTCTCCAAGTAAAATGCTTATCCAAGTACAGTTTTCTGTATAGCATTTATATTGAGACGATAAGTAATGTGCATACTTTTTTATTTACAGTGAAGAGCGCATGAGATGAGACCTCTTAATTACATTTGAACTATGAGAAACATTCTACATATGGAGTCAAAAATAAATTGCAATGAATCCCAGCAAGGAAAAGACTTCAGACCAGGTCCTCTAACATCAGCAAGAGCCAGACAGAATTTCTCTTCCAAAAATATTTTAAGCAAAAAAAAGCTGAATTTATATGTGTGTGTATACATACAGGTTTCATGGATTGTTACAAATGGAGCAAATAAATAATGAAAAAAATTAGGAACCTCAATTTTGTTTGTTTCAAACAAAACATCTTATTATTTAACTTCAAATTGGTGTATATCAAAATTGGTGTTAATCTTACTGAATATATTATATATATATATTTAAATCTCAAATGATTAAAAAAAAATTGTGATTTCTTTCACCAAATGCAAAGATGATTAAATCTGAGTACAGTATAAGAAACAGACAACACTAGCTTCATGATTTCAGTGTTTGCACTACCAGTCTTAGATATGATACTTCTAACAGATCATCTAAAAGATCGTTAGTCAACATCCTAAAAAAAAACATTTCAGCACATGTTGAAAACCCAGCTAGATGCTAGATCTGTTCCACCCATTCTAATGCAAATTATGTGCAAGATATGAGATTACACCTAGAGACAAATTAAAAATTTCAAATTTCTCTTTAAATTATGTTTATATGTTTGCATATGAGCTTAAGAAATTGTATTTGCCCATATACACATGAATGATGGATTTCCCGAGAGGAAGAAGGAATAGAATTGTAGATTTGTCTACATCACATTCCTGATAGTTTGGTATATTTGAGCCAAACTACAGAAAAAATGCTATACTGTTTCTAGGCAGCAGAAGTATCTAGGGACTATCAAACTTGTGCAAATATCCTCAACTGTTTTATCAAACAATCTCAGCACAACTATCACTGGGAAAAGGAATATCTGGTAGATGTATTTGGTTGCTATGATTGCTTCAATCAGTAAGAATTTTTTACAGGATGAAATGCCTTCCAGTTTCACCAAGAGAAGTATATTTGGTGGAGTCAGAAGAAGGTATCTCATCACAAAAATCAGACCAATGTTTTCTGCTAAAGCAGTCAACACAATTTTCAGCAAAGAATAATTTATACTGTAGCTTGCTTAACATCTTCATTTTCCAATGGACAATGTTTCATTTCAAAAGACAAGTTTTCTCATTGAAACCAGGCTTTCTGTTTTTTATTACCAAAGCTTAACTTTTTCACTGAGCTTCTTATGAAAAGGTTACCATGGCCTTGTGTCTGCAGACTATGTAAATAAAACAGGAGCATAGCCTGCCATCATGAACTACATTAAAAATGCAGCAGACCTGATCACCTTCTTTCAATAAGAGTAGAGCACCAGACAGAAATCTTTATAACGGTCTGTTGACGAAAAGATGCTCAAGCTCCAGGTTCTTCGTCCTGAAGCTAGAACCCTAAGAACCATACCCGGGGCCAGGGCTGTCAGTGCTTTCTGTCCTCCTGCTCTAGAGTTGGAACTGACTGTAACAGAGAGAGTCAGTTGTGAGTCTGACTATGCACTGGTCCTTTTGAGGTGCCCTATGACATCTCAGACACCAGCATGCAGCTGATGCATATGATATATTCCCAACATCTTTTTGACACCTTGTTCAAATGTAGACACTGAAATGATATTCATAATAAACCAGAGCAAGATGAATCCAAGCCCTGCAAGTCTCAGGGTAGATTTTTATAAATTGAGGCTCTTGGGCAATCTGACTGAAAGTCTTGCTAGCATTACAGCTGCTTACTGGAGTTGACACATTGCTCAGTTTCACAGGGGTAAATGGAATGTCATCCTGTTTTGTAGTGATTTTACAAGCTTGAATTTTACTGGCAGGTCTGTATCTCAGAAAATTTCGAAATAACTTGGTCTTATAGAATCATATCATAGAATCATAGTTAGGGTTGAAAGAGACCTTAAAGATCATCTAGTTCCAACACCTCTACATGGGTAGGGAAGCTTTGTATAGTTTAGTTTGTGTAGTATAGTACAGTATACTTTTATACTGTATGATCTTATATAGTATGGTATAGTCTTTCTGTAGTTCAGGCTGAAATTGAAATATGCATTGGTAGCCTTGTTTTCTTCATACTATGCAGCCAGGGTTCTCCTTTAGGTAGCTCTCCCTGAGACTACAAAAGTTTGTATTGCTTTCGTCTGTATTGCTTTTATGTCTTCACAAATTATCTACTGGCCCTGCCTCCATCCTGCCATCTCTGCTATAGTATCTCACCTCCAGCAAACAGGCCACAGCAATCTGGGGGAAAAAAAAGAATTAAAAGAAGGCCCATTTCTTATTTCCTCTACTTAATTCCCCCTCTTTGTCTGGATGGCGAAAGTTCAGGGAAAAGGATGGGTCCTAACCTTCATAGGCTATAAGTCCAGATCTTTATTTATCTAAAAAGGACTTGTCTTATAAAAGTTGATTTCTGAGTGAGCTCAACAATTACACTGTTACTTGCCTGATTATGCTTGGATAATGATTTGGCAATTAAGGCTCAGTACATTTAGAGATTAATTACCAGGAAATTCTGGTTGCTAACTTTCCATCAAAATTTGGGTTTCTTTATCTTGTTACCTTGTTTAGCCTTGTTATCCTTACTCCCATCTCATATAACATGTTGGTGTCTATAGGCTAATTTAAATACTATAGGAATAACAGAATTTGGATGGAAGTATTTAAATCTAACAGTACTGAGAATGCAGGCATGAAAACAAATACTTAAACAACAACTGAGCCCCAAATATTCCTTTCATATATTTGGGCACTTGGTAAAAAGAGATTACTTGTTACTGTTCCAATTACATTAAAATCTAGCAAGCTGAAATATCTGGCTTCAAGGCTAAATTAGTCTCTTGCTGTTTCATCCAAGTATGAAACAAGATAACAGAGTTGGTCAGTTACAGAATTCTTATTTTAATATGTTCTTCTGGGAAGGTTCTTTGGCTAATTGGAAATGTACTTTACAGACTGATCTTTCAGAATACAGCAAATATTTAATTTTCAAATCTTTTAAGACTACCCTTCTCTTACCAACAAGTTGCTAATAGGGCTTTGACTGGTACGTGACTTGAAGATTTTAGGTGGTGTTTTACATATCCCCATTCCTGTTTAATATCTTGGCATTTCTGGATAACAAACATTTAGGAGTCTCATTCAGCTCACAGGTTTAGCACTACATTTCGGGTGTTTAAATGCAGATATTTGCAAATGGATGGAGCATAAGCTCTCAGTGCAAAACCACGGAGATCTAGACATACATCTACATACCGTAGAATCAGCCAGCTGATTCTAAGGATGTGATTTAATTGCCTATACAGAGATGTCTAATGCCATTGGAGATGTGATAGGCTAAAGAAGAGCAGAACGTAATACTAGTCAAGTAATCAATACTGAAGTACTAGATTGTGGACATAGAACACAAGGCTGTAAGACTCCAGAGCAGCAGCCTAACTGCTAACCAGGATGCTCTACAGCTTCCCAAGAAGCACCAGATACTTACGTTTTGGCAACTGAATACTGCCTTAAGAGTATTCACTTTACAGAATAGAGTTGTTTGAGTTCAGTAGCTCTTTAGACTCCATTGACAGCACTGATTTGGTATCATTTGATTATGGGCTTAATTCAGTTACTGACACATGGGCATCCAGTGCCTTTTTAGATATCTTATGGTATTCTGTACGGCCTTCAGCCGGTGTTAGAAGGATAGTCAAACCAGATATTTCTTCTTCATAGCTATTTAAAAACTACTTGCTCTCCATTATGAATAAAGGCAACAGACTACTGTGTATGGCTTTGCAGATACCTCCAAGACACTTAAAAATTTTATTTAGTTCCCAACCAAGTGTTCTCCTTTTTAAACTATACCTGTTTTTCCACTAATCTCAGATATGCTATTTTCTAGACTTTCACTCACACTTCCTTATTTTCCCTAGACCCTCTTCAATTGCTCAACTGCCTTTAACAGTGCTACCCTTGACCACAAATACTAAGCTCAAGCATTACCACTGTAAATCAGACTCCTTTTTTTACGTGATTCATATTTTTGTTGTTTGTTGGGGTTTTTTCCCTCCAGAAAAAGATGTTATTGGCTCATGTTCAGTCTGAGATCAACAGTAAACCCTAGATTTCTATGCCTAACTTGGCATTCCCTCTACTGAATTTGGATAGGAATAATTAGTTGTATAGATGCTCTATTTTGCATTTGTCCATACTGATTTTTATACTTTTTTTCAGATGCATTTTGCTAAATTGGCAAGATAAGTTTTAACTTCCATGTTATCCTTTAAACAGGCATGCAGTTCCTCCATTAATTTTGCATCTCTGCACAACTTTCTGTCATTATCTATGGGGATTTTCCCATGCTTTTCATTGCTTCTCAGTAGTAACTATGGGAACAGACTTTGCATAAGTTACGCAAGATTATACAGCACTGTTCCTCATGGAAGATAGGAGAAATAACTAATCCAAAAGCTGTTTATGGCAGAAGACTCTGAAGTCTTCTTTTAGTTTTATTCAATCAAAGCACACTAGGACTGAAAACTCTGAAATGTTCACTGAGATACTGGGCTCAAAGAACTAATATCTTCCCTTGAGACTTCAATAACCTCAAAGCCAAAAGCATGCCTGACTTATTTTCTGCAAAAATGTAGAAACTGACCCTAATTACTAGGACCATAAGAAAGTCTTGAGAAGAAACTTGAAAGGAATCTGCTGACTTTATCATCGAATTCACTACCATGCTTCAGATTTAGATTTAAACGTGGTTTTGAGAAACAAATGTGATGTTTCCTCTGCATGGAAATACTTGTCACAAAATTTCATAATTGGTAAATTACCATTTTCATAATGTCCTGTACCAAAGCGATAGTAAATTCAGTATTGTGCCTTCAAAAGTGACAAAAATTATATGTTCCAGAAAATGGTACAAGAAACATGGAGTAATCTGTTCTCTGTGACTGTGCCATCCTACTCCCTAATGCCAAGTTATCTTAAACCCTGAAGCATGAGACTTTTTTAAACTCCTTTCACTAGTTTTTTTTTGAGAAACCATTAAGATTCTGAGAATTTGGTCAGTCACAGAAATGCGTACTCCTAGTTTTTACTCTCTCTGGTATTTGTCACGTATCTCTTTGGATTTCTCATTTTCCTGAATTTTACAGCTCTCATCTCTAAATTACTGAATCGTGCCTTTATTGAAATATTTCATGCTGAACTAAAAGGTGGCCTTGGACTGTCATAAAAGCTTCACAAATAAATTCTCTGTATTCTCCTTGTTGTCTAAAAGAGCCTTCCTACAAAAGCATATCCAGTCCTGTGGAGGGTCAGGTAAGACCTGGCTGCCAAAGGTGACAGTAGCTGCAGAATGTAAGGATATAGGATTAGAGTATCTGAATCTCTACAGAAAAAACCCCTTCCATTCACAATGATAAACAAGAACAGCAGCAGTTGGCAAATTTCCTTGTACTAATTTCAATCCCAGCAATATTTACATTTTGTTCTGAAATACAACTCATGTTTCTGTGTACTTTGAAACAGATGCTGTATCCAAAGAGTGGGTGAAGTGATGCTTACAAACATGATTGAGCTGTGCTTCATTTGTTTGAGAGTGCTGGGACAGATGGAACAGCACACTCCTGTGGTCTGAAGAGCACTGAAAATCTGAAGGTCCCAAATAATGAGTCAAATAATGAGCCCACATGTGCTGATGGCTTTCTGTGTTGCTTTGGTCTTGTCAAACATAACAACATTTTCCTGTACCAGTGTCTAATATCAAATATGTAAATCAACACTGTACTTTGTCATCTGAAGACATCCAATTCTGTGAATTGCCAATAACTTACTACAGCTTCAAGGAAACAAGTAGAAAATGTGGGAATGTCATTTTAGCATCTTAACTATGACGACAAACACACTGACTATGTATACAGTACTATATACCCATCAGTACAAATCAAGATATAAAAGATATTACATTCACTATGCAACAACAAAGCAAACATGCACTGATAAGTTGCAGGGAGGTGTTTATAAAATTGGTAGCTTTTTGACCTTGTATGCCAAAACATATTTACATACATCAGTAACCCTGTAAGCTACATTTAAACTCATGATTCAGAGGTGAATGACTTCCTATTGATTTAGATCACAGATATTTAGGTGTCTACTTAAGTATCACATAAACACACGAAAAAGAAAAATAAACAAGAAACCATAGAATCATGGAATCATGGAATCATGCAATGGTTTGGGTTGGAAGGGACTTTATCTAAATGGTATGGGTTAAAGACTATCTAAGTGGTTTGGGTTAAAGACTGTCTAATGGTTTGGGTTGGAAGAGACCTTAAAGACTATCAAAGATGTTCCTGCCATGGGACCAGCTTTCTCAAAGGTCCATCCAATCTGGCCTTGAACACTTCCAGAGATGGGGCATTCAAACTTTCCTGGACAAGATGGTGTCTCCCACTGCCCCAGCAAAGAATTTCTTCCTATACCTAATCTAAATCCACCCTCTTTCAGTTTAAAGCTATTCCCCCTTGTCCTATCACTAAATATTTTTGTAATAAGTCCCTCCCCAGCTCTCTTCCTGGCCCCCATTAGGTACTGGAAGGCTGCTAGAACATTCTTTTCTCCAGGCTGAACAACCCCAATTCTCTTATCCTGTCTTCATCAGTTCCATCCCCCTGATCATCTGCGTGGCACTCCTCTGGACTTGCTCCAACAGGTCCATGGCCTTCTTGTTCTGGGGGCCCCAGAGCTGAATGCAGTGTTGAATGCAGGTCAGGAACGATATTTCATGAGCTGCTACCTCCAGGCTTTGTCAAGTAATTTCTTTAGCCAAACATGTAACACAGACTACATATCATGACTGGTAATAATGTTTAATTATTATTAAACAGTAATTTTCAGACAACAGTAATTGTCAGACACAAGGAAATAAAACACTAAATGGGCAAATGGCAATACTTGCCTGTGGCAAAGACAACATTCTTTGACACCAGTCTGTATTCCACGATAGAGAACTGAGGAAGTTCAATCCTCTCCACGCCAGTGACTGCGTTATCCCCACCTCTCCAGTAGAACTCTATGTCATCAGTTGTGTAACCATCTGCAAGCAAAGCAGGAGAGTAAGTCAGATTCAAATGTAGCTTCAAACATGCAGCCTGTCATTTGAGACAATGAAAAGAACTGGAACAGCTGGAGAGCTGCATCGTATTTTGCCTGTGGGAAGGTCTCCCGAATAGCTGCGCCATTACAGTCTGCCCAGGAATTTTAGGCAAAATACTCTGTTTTCATTTTATTTATTTTTTATTATCACTCACATAATATTCGCTAATGGCCACAGTGAGAAGAAAATGCTATCCATTATTTAAGACTAATTTATTATTTATTTCTGAAAACAATTGTATATTTACGCTGCTAATCACCAAAAGAAGACAGATTACTCTATGAATACAGAGAAACATAACTGAGGCAGACCTTTTCCACTCACACTAAACAGTGTGAGTTGCACCATTTCCATTAGCTTCTGTAGTGGAGGACTACAGCTGAATATAGAGTATATATACTAGTATTTTCTGTATACGGCCCACAATTTCCAGTCAACAACAGAAATGGAGCAGGAACTCCTGAAGCACAAATACACATCTGTTGGGGCACATTCTGTTTGGGACACAATTGCAAATCATAAATGGGGTCAATCTGAAAGCTCAGAGGGTGTCCTGCAGCAAGATGATCCATGCAAAATAAAGCATACTGAAAGAAAATGGTATCACAGTGTTTGCTCTCTTGAAAATGAATCTCATTAAAATACAAATATTCATCTCCTCTGTCAAAGATAAGAATTCAGTCACTACCTCTGCCAAGTCAGGCAGGAATACTAAATGACTTCATTCTGTTCTAGACTCATTTTCCTAGGATGCATTCAGCTATCTAGAAATGGATGAATCCTTATATTTTTAATAAGTCAAATAAACAGACAAACAAAAAATTCAAATGGTGATAATTACATGATTCACAGTGTTTATAAACACATGTGTAAATATTACACAGTTCTATAAAAGGAAAACTGCCATGCATTTGAACTAGATTTTACAAGCATTTTCTCATGTACATACAGCTTTCTATTTCCAGAGTACAGTTTTGTTCATCCAGTGGGTATCTTCTCAAGTCCATCATACAAGCAGCAGTGGTTGTGATTCTGAAAAACAAACATCGAATACTTTTACTATGCAGTCAGTAATCCAGGTTTCGGTGATGGTGTTGTTTATCTTTCAAAGTGAGGACTCTCTGAAGAATAGCTTACAAATATCTGGTCCATATTTTTACATCGAGCAGCAGCTTAATATAACAGCAGTTACACCGACTTTCAGTGGAACAACTCACTGTGACTTACCCTTATACAACCAATCCCTTTGGGGTTCGGTGGACCTATCCACATATGCAAATATTACACGAACATTTACTGAGATTAAAAGATATGACTCTATAACAGAAAACGTAAAGTGAAAAAGGTCTGCTACAGATGTCAAAATGATTAGAGCTGTGTGAATAACTGATTTCCTGGTTTTGTGGCAGCTCTACAAAAAAAATTCTGAAACGTTGAAAAACAGTCTTAAGTCAAGCAAAATGCTCTGTTTGAAAGTTGAGTATACTTGTCTAGTTTTCAAATTTAAAGAGGATTTTGTTATGAAGCTCCATATTGAGTTTTAAATTTTCTCCTAAAATAACAACACATTTTTACTTCTCTGCCTCTTTAGCAATTTAGCACCCCAAGGATGACTTTGTAAAACATTTCACTACTGATGAATCAGCATTTTTCATCCTCTTGTATATCAGGAGTGTCAACAATACACATGTGGAACCAAAACAATTGCATTAGCAGCTTCACACAGCACTGATACTTAATTTTTAAATTAATGGATTTCTGTGTTTGTACTAACTTTTAGACAGATACAACCATATGCTCATAATTGGTCTGCAGTGTATTTCAGTGTTTTTCTGAATTACAGCCTTCATCAAGAGTACGTACATTATTATACATCATTATACGTCTTTATAATGGTTTTATATGAATTTCACATTAAATTATCTTCTGAGCCTGACTAGGTCCATTTCTTACCGATCCTTTTCTGATATAAACAAGACATGGACCTTGCACACGGTTTGTTCCTAAACAAATAATATTCTGGTGATAATTTATGCTAATAATGCAAGAGGAGAAAATGCCCTGAATGTACCTCTAAAAGCTGGAAACTTCAATATTAAGGTTTTGTTCATGTGTTTTCTCTGTTTTGAAGTTCTTCCTTCTATCCCTTAACCTTCTCAAATTAGAGTCTTCTAATCTGGTAAAATACTTTAAAATTCTGTGGCAATGTTTCAAGAGAAGAAAAGTAGTTAGGTGCCTTTCTTCATCTCTTTCACAGTAAAAAAAAAAAACCACAAACCCATGTTGTTATTACAAATGTTGTATCTAATCTCAAAGAAAAGGAATGAAATAACTCTTATCCTTAGCATATAGATCATTCCAGATAAATAACCATGTAACATCTGAAGAAAGTGATTAAGACCATTATAACTATCTCAAAGGACAACAGAGGCCACCCTTCTCTGACCAAGAAGGTGCTTTTCACAAGAAAATATTATAATTTCTTTGCAGAGGGAGAGACATTTGTATGAGCACAAAGGCAGTTGATGAGCTAGGAGAGGAAAGAGCTCAAGCATCTGTCCTCAGCATATCTTCTCACTTGTGTTCCTACCAGTAGCCACTGAGAAAGGCACTGAGCTGATCTTTGTCCTTTCCAGCATTTATCTATGGCACAGTCATGTCTTTGTCACTGCTGATCCCTCTGACTGTCCTCTAAATACCCTTCTGTAAGTTCCACGGGATTTCAGGTACTAAGTATTGTATCACAAGAATATACTTAGGTCAACCTTCTACAGCTGCTATCTGTGAGTGGCTCTGGTTCCTCTTAACACAAATCCCTGTGGGTTGGAGCAGTTTACAAACAGCAGTTCCTTGGCTGGTCTGAAGTTTGGGGGGACGTCTTTGCAACCAACATTTGCAAATGTCCTTCTGGAACCTCAGGCAAGGGGCTGGACACAGAGCTGTTAACTATGGAGATGATTAATCATCTGGGTTGTTCAGCCTGGAGAAGAGAAGGCTCCGGAGAGACCTTATAACAGCTTTCCAGTACTGAAAGAGCGGCTATGAGAGAGCTGGAGAGGGACTTTGTACAAGGACATGTAGTAATAGGAAAGGGGGAATGGCTTCAGACTGAAAGAGAGTAGGTTTAGATTGCATACTCTTTCCTATGAAGATGGTAAGGCAGTGGAATAGGTTGCCCAGAAAAGTTGTCGATGCCCCATCCCTGGAAGTGTTGAAGGCCAGGTAGGATGGGGCTTTGAAAAACATGGTCTAGTCAAAGGTGTCCTTGCTCATGACAGGAGGGCTGGAATGAGATGATATCATTTCTATGAGAAAGCTTTATTGTGACTCTATGAATGTCTCCTCAATAAGATAACTACTAGTAGCTCTAGCTAAGCATATAAAACTGGGACTAACATAGAGTCTTAGAGGAGAAAACTTATTCTTAAATCTCTGTTTATTTATAAACAAGGTCTTAGCAGTGATCAGCTTTACAAAGCCATAATGATTGTGCAATGGCAGGATCTTGCTCCTGAGCCAACTGATAACCGTGCTCTAAGTAAAAAACAAGTAGGTATGTTTGGAAATCGCTGATATGAGGGCTCTCTCCCATGCTTTAGTACATATGCCTACACAGACCTAGGTCTCATTTAGGATCCTGCAGCATAATCCAAATAAGCTAATTTGATACAAGAGTGAATGTGGTACCAGGATCTTAATTATTATGTTGTATAACTAGCTTTAAATGCCAGCCATACAGAACACATGCACTTAGGAATTATTAATTTGACAAAATTATAAAAAATTATGCAGCTGGCAAACTTATATTCAACTTATTAATTGCATTATGACTTTTAACGGAATATATTTTTATTTTTGTCTGCATGGTTTTGTGTCACAAGTTCCAGTACCAGAAACTGCACATTCTTGCTCAATAACTTTTTACACTACAGAAAAATGTGTGGTTTTAATTTAATAAATATCCACTAGAAAAGAAGATACAGCTAGAATTAGATAGAAACAGATTTATCTCATTTACTTAAAGTAGAGTTGAGTGCTCAGAGGTCCCTCCTGAATGAACATTCAAGCAACTAAATTTAACTCGCACAAATGCACACCAAAAGCAAATGCTAATTGCTCAGGCTTGTTCGTGCTCCCAAAAAGTGCATGTTTATTTTTATGGGATGGGATTGAAGCAGTACACAGACACACATACATTCTGAAAGCAATGACACAAAGGAAATATTTTTAATTGTTTATAATTTCCTACTCTGATTTTCTTTCCAATGGATATAGAATTTTATCGTTCTCAGATACTTTATTTCCAGGTTGATTGCCTTTGACTGTATTGCTATACTGTATAGGAACCCCACCTGTGATGTACTGAGAGGTGCTGCACACACAAGTGACACAAGGATATTTTATGTCCCCAAAAAGTTTATAGTGTAAATCAGTCTAAGCAATATTAGGTACTTCTTATGTGAGTAGGTCACAATACCAATGTCTAATTTAATCCTCTTTTCATCTTGATATAGAAATATACGAATACAAAAAAGAAGTGCAGTTGCCTTGTCTGACTGATCACACCTAACCTTTTCATCATGAAGACATTAATGTTTTATATATGTGATAATTATGTGAATCCTTTCAAATAAAACACATACATTGCTCCACACCATTTATTTGTAACATTTAGCATTGTACTGCCTGAGAAAAAGAGGTTTATATATAGCAAACACAAGCAGTTGGACTCTAAGTTTTGATTTCCAGACTATAATGTAATTTTTTGTCTATTATGAAAAAAGAGGTGTTTATCATCATTTGTCCTGTGTATTGTTCTGAAAAAGGTAGAACAAATGCAGGGTGTTGCCCAAAGAAAAAAATTCCTCAGAAATGTGCTGAACTTCAAAAAGCTACTGTCCCATTGCCCCACTATCACAGACTTCTGCTGCAGTACCTAACTGCTTTCTCTAAACTAGAGAGGAATTTTGGATGTCTGAAGCCTTTCAAAACTACGATAACTTTCACATTGTTCAGAAGAGAAAACAGAGCCAAGTGTGGCCTTGGGATCACTTTCAATTACATGTGTTGAGGAACTGCTTTGCTCCGTGGATGTTCTGTAATTGGTTGCAACCCTCCAAAATTTCCCCTATTATTCTGAGTGACCCTGTGCTTTATGGCACATAAAACTCCAAGTTCTGGTCTCAACTCACGCTGCCTCTGGATTGCAGCTTGAGCCCAATGCCATTGTGATGCTTTGAAGCCACAGTGGAGGAAGACAGGATAGCGGTAGAGCAACACAAAGCACAAGCCTTTAAATCAGCGGAGCTAAGACTCAGATATTTCCTTCCTTTTGATCACAGTGTCCTATATTTTGCCAAGATTAATCTGAGACAGTCATTCTTCACTAGGTAACTCAGCTGCTTCACACTATGGGTATCTGACCCTGGATATTACACGCTTTCAGAGAAAAGGAAGGGCAAGAAGTGTGTCACACATGAGTAACTGGTGAAAACCTGCTAAGCAAATACTATTATGTGAAATGCAATCTACCTGTGGACATGCACATTTTGCAGAAGAGGAAGCTAACTTATTCAAATACACTATTCTGTGACAGATAATACTCACCTGAACAACTCCAAATGCTTTTAGAGTGTGACACAAAGACTTCTACATATTATTAGGATCACATGAGTTCTCCATTGCTTTTTTATTACATTGTGAGGAGGTTTCTTGGTATAAAGAAAACAAATAAAGCTTGGATCGGTTTTTTTACATTTAACCACTTGTGGAAAGAATCCTAAACCTGTAGTGTTCCATACCAAGTCAATACCATGCAAGATGAAAGCCTCATTTTGCTAAAACCAGTTAATTACAGAGACAACATTCTAAACTTCTTCAAAGTTTCATAATTGGTTGAATTTATTTCTATTTTGTCTAAAAAGGTTCTAGATCCAATTCTACCCCAGACATGACACATAATAGAAGTTGAAGAGGTGAGGGGCCAAAACTCCAGTCAGGTAAAAAGTTCAACTGTTGATAAAAAGCAGAAGCAGTTAAAATAAGGATACTAGACATATAATACATCTGCACCACTTTTCAGAGCTCATACCTTTTTTATACCAGGAGCTCTTTATCCCGTACTACTTATATGCACCAATCTCTGCTTAAATATACAAGAAACTTCCAGTGATGGAAAGGGAGCTTTCAGACTTGTTTTGCTGGTTTAAACTGCTGGAGCAAATGGAGTAACGTGTTCAAAGAAATCAATTTTTTGATACTACTAAGTCTTTCATTAAGATTTTTGCTGGTATAGTTAAGTTTATTAAGGAAAGGATATTTTGGCATTCCTAATCATAAAAGCTATGACAGAAAACAAAGAAAACACAGGTCAAGGTCACACTGTACCTCTGGTTTTAAATATAACACACTGTAGTGCTGATTCCTGCTTGAAAAAAACATCAAAGGTACCCCTAGTCATGTTCTTAGCTGTGGCTACTCCACTCAACCAGGGTTACTTGTGGCTTTTTTTAAAATGACTACAGACATATCAGTAGAAAACATAAGCACCCACATTCCATCTTACTGCCTGTATTTTAGACAAATTTTCAGGTTTACAATTAATAAGTGCCTTTCTGCTTCCTATAGCCAGTGGGCTTTCCAGATATGGTGACTCTACAGAAACAGATAAAACCTGACTGAAGGCGCTTCTGGCAAAATTAAGAAACATTCAGTGTGTCATTTGTTTTCTACGGGCATCTTTCAGAGTTACAGGGAAGGTTACATAATACACTAGCCAATGTTTGTAATAACCTTGTACCAGGAAGAAAACATCAACAATACATAACAGCAGTGATGAAATCTTCATTGTGGAAGCACAGACCTGAGGCCGTAAAGCACTGTTCCATCCGGGTGAAGGCGAATCATTCGATTCTTCACAGTAACACCATGCACAAATGATTTCTTGTCATTTAAGAAGTAAGTGTCAGGCACCCAAAGCTGATCTGCCACCCGGTTGTCAAGCGTGAGGTTGAGAGGTATCCCAGCGTAAGCCAGCCTCTTATCTCTCCAGTACTGTTGAAAATACATTGTCAAAGTGTAATCCTGGTGAGGAGAAAAAAAAAAAGAGAAGCACAACAGTCAGCCATACTATGTTTAACTGGGAGAATAATTTTTTTCCTGTCAATATTTTATTTTGCTGCTGATTTGATTTAAATTTAATATTTTTAAATGCTTAATAAAAATTAAATATTCATATCACTTAACAAATAGTTCCTATAATTCAAGTATCACTCTAAATTAAGGGACCATTTCAAATTCAGGTAGTATCAGTATCAGTTTTGTCCTGCTCCTTCTTTTTCCTCATGTAGTTCCCGTGACAACTACCCAAAGTTATCATGTTTGTGGAATGATAAATGACATAATAGGTAAATACTGCCATCTTCTCCATTTTTAAAAATGATGGATGAATGGAAAAACATTAGAAGTGCTTTGAAGCAATATGTAAATATCTGTCTGAAAAATAACCTGTGAATATGTTGATTATACGTCTGCCTTTGTGTGACACTGCATCTTGCAGTCTCACATAATATTTTCTCATCAACAGGTTACATTGGTACCTAGAAGAATAGTAAATTGTAGTAACATCCCACTAACGTGAATGTTTGGTTTTCATAATTTTGTCAGTTTTAAGGTTTATGGTGTCTGCTAGGAGCTGTGATCACTAATGTAAAAGCCTAAACATGGATGCAGAAGCCTAAAACATTCATTTTTAATTTATTTATTTAATTTCAGAATTTGCTAACCTGACTTCTCCATGTCATAATAACACTACATTGAAACACTTTGAAAGCTTAGATGATAGGCCTCATTCTTTAGCTTCATGATATTACAAAACATTGAAAAAATAAATGTCTGGGAACATTTTAAAGTTATGTGCCAACAAAACTGAAAAAATAATCACGTGAAAAAAATGAGACCGTAAGTACAGGCCATTAAAACTGATTTTCAAATTACAGAAATGCTTTAAACAATAAAACTCTTCATGAAATTCTTCACAAAACCCTGAGAAATTTATGTGATCTCCAAACACATTTAAATATTTAGCAGCAGGTGTGCAAGCCACAGGATACCTGCATTTGCATCTGGTTCTACAAGCTGGTGACGCAGATCCCCTCAGGCTTGCTGCTTGTTTGGGAAAAGGATGCTCAAGCTTTCTAAGCACGGCTTTTGAGAACGGTCCATTCTTGTAATGGGTTTCATGAGGAGACAATCCAGTTTCAGGCACTGCTCCTGCCCTGCTTCCCTTAAGCCCTACAGCCTTTCCTTGAAATCATATGAAACTTTCACGCTCAGAGCCTTTGCATTTTTGATTCAGTGACTCATTCTCTTTAATGAGGGAGCTGCTATAGTTTAAAGAAATCAAATTTAATTGCTTAGAAAAATAAATCATTATAGATATCAAGGAAAAGCTGCTCCCATTTTAAGAAACTAATAGGAGACCTTTGAAAACAAAAGGGCCTCGTGATGGGAGAGAAGAGCCCACGTGGAACTGCCTGGAAGGAATCTCATCCATCAAACCTCAGATCTGACATGACTGCTCAGGAGAACGTGCTCTAACATTGTCAACAGCTTCCTTCAGTGGGACTAATGATCCCTGCTCATCAGTGAATGAGGTGCCTGATACACTGGGTGCACCTGCCTCTCTCCCATCAGCATGTCAGGAAGACCACCTCTCTCCGCACGTTCTCTGCAACCAGTTTTCTAACGCTGATGCACTAGAACAAATATCCTCTACCCGCTCTGTTTTGCCTTAATTAAAGCTTGTTTCTATTAACATTCAAAATTTTCTATGTGCCTGGCTTCTATAATGGTTTGCATATCAATGTCAAGAAATTTGGTATTATAAAAGCTTTGGACACATGAGCAGTACACCAAGAGCTCACCATGTGTAAGTGCACAGTATAATGCACAAAATAATGCTAAAAAATGAAATAAAGAAAAATAATGGCACAGCATAGCATTGAAAGAAGTGAACTGGCCGGCACCAAAATATAAGAGGAATTAATCTGAAGAGAAGAAAGTTTCAGGTTAGTTTCCTTTTTCCTTCGGCTTGAGATAAAATATATGTTAACATCTAATGAGTGGAGTAATTAATTAGCTAAGTAAAACATACGTAGCAATACAAACAACAATAGTCTGTTACTTTATTTTTAAATAATAATATTGACTATATCAGGGAACAACAGAGAAGGAAGTTTACAAATTACACACAGAAACAGCAACATCCATTAAACATCCAGAACTTCGAGTATCTTGAATGAAAATCAAACTTCTAAAACACATCCTCTAAGGTAAGAATTTTACCAGTGCTTTCCCTATTAACCCTCACCTCTTACAGCATCTTAATTTTAAATGAAAATTTAAAAAGCCCTTCATGTGTCTGTTTATGTATGTGACTATAGTTGTATATACTGAAAGCAATGATACCCCCAAAATTATTTTTTTAAAAAGAGTAACCCCACTGTGCACTTCAAACAACAGACATGACAGAAATAGGGTACCCAAGAAAGCATTTGTGTTACCACACAGGTTGAAGAATCACTGTACGTTTGGGCTCTGCCAGCCTCACCTGCTCTGAAGATGATGGCAGAAGGAATTAATATGAACCATGCTTGGTTACCATCACACTTTTTCCAATCACCTCAAAACAAAAAGCAGTAGCAGCAAAGTCATGTTAGAACTGCACTGAAACTGCCTGGCTGTGCAAGGAGAAATAAATGAGCAGGAAAAGGCCAGTTCCTTAGGGTGGCTCTACCCAAATCACTACCTGCAGAATGTAAGCTTATTAAAACCCATAAGGATGTCAGCTCTCATTCTTTGATTAACTAATTTTAAAGACTTTGTACCCATAAAGGAAGATTTTCCCTTGTCTATGCTTGAGAAAAATGAAAAAACGGTTTGAGCATGGACTGGAAAAAACTGCACTAGGTATTTGTCAGGTAAAAGCAGAAAATGAACTTTTACCTCTCAGTAAGTAGTCTACAGAGTTTATTAAGGCCCACCTCCCTCCAGGGGAGCTAATGATGATGTAGAGGTCAAGAGCTAGTCTAAAGCTAGAAAAGATTAATCCCGCTGCAGCTACTGCATTAGGATGTTGTCAAAGACAACATAGAGCTGTCAGCTTTAGGAAATTCTAACTACTGCATGGAGCAGTGAACAATTTTCTCAGCATTAAAGACCTCTAGAAAACATATATTATTTCCCCAAACAATACCATGCAACATTCAATGTTTCCCCTCTCCAGCTGTTCACAGTAATAAGATGCTTCAGGTCAAGCATGGTAAAAAAATCACTCAAAGCCCTGACGGGAAACATACACAGTGCTTCTGAAATACAGGAGAAATGTCCTCAAAATGGGAAAAATTAGACTGCACAGGCAACATGATCTTTCTTTTGTGTATTCAAAGACCTTGGAACATCCTACAAGGATAAAGGACAGTGCCGAGCATCCTTGAATTTTTATCGTGGTAACAATGCCACTAAGGTAAGGAAAGGAACACAAAAAGGTGTGATGGTGTTTTTTTCAACCTAGTTTTCCCTGGGGAAGGGGAGTGGAAAACCGAAATAAAACCCCTCTAATAGTAGATAATACTTTGGAAGACATTTAGATACGATGATAAACAGGCTGATAATGCAACTGATATAATACTTCATATGTATTGTTTGTGATTTTAAAACATCTTAAGGAAGAATTATAGACACTCACAAATACTGTATATGCTGACCATGTATAAAGAAGTTCTTAAGCATTTCCTACATGTTATTTGTCTCTCCACAGAGTGAACGTACCATGTAGGAAGCACAACTAAGCCTCTCCTACAAAGCCACTTCAGATAGCTAATGTACAGTACCTAATGCACTGACTATAAGACTAATGAATGAGAAATATTAATATGTTGTAACACTAAAAGCAAACAATTTGTGTTCTATTACAGGGTTTGTTATCTTTAGCTTTTCTCTCCTGCACTCAAATAATAGGGAAAGAAAAATTTTAAAATATAGTTCGCTCATCAAAATAAAATTAACATAATTATAGCAGCAACAGTGCTCTAAAATTGACTATCAGTTTAGAGTCTTACTTTATTATATATCAAGGATGTTACAAGTTTTCCATTAGCTGAAGAAATGTGTTTTTTCAAAATTACTGCTGGGTAAACACTGCAATTAATAATTATGATGGAGTACTGTTAATATGGCAGTTTAGCAAAAGAAGTTATTACTGCAAAATTAATAAATATATTGAAAATTACTGAAAATTTCATTGTCTTGGAAGACAGCCTTGTGTCTACTTGAAATACAGATTCCCATTTTAAATATGCATTTGGATGTAAATTCACATCCTTGTTTTCTTGACTAATAGACAAATAAGATTATTACCATCAGCTTTTGGATTATTTATTTTTGATGAGTTAATAAAGTAAATACTCATTCAGTGGATGAAAAGATATATTGAAAATCCATGCTTTAGATTCTAAAACTTCAGTCACTTCCCTCACCTTCCACATAATTTCAAAAATTAGATATGGTTGCTGTAGTATAAGGAGCTATTTCTGCAGCATTGATGATTTATATTCTTCCCAATAAGCCCAAAGTGAATTGCAAAGCCAAAATCATGAAACCTATGCTTTGAGAAAATATCTGTAAATCTGTCCCCCTACCATAGATGGAAGAGACCTGAGAAAGAGATTCATGCACACATTAATTCAGCTAGCTAAATATGAATTTAATAAAGGTGTATTCAGAAAGGCTAACCTTAGGAAGTCAGAATTTACCAGCTGAGCTATTCAGTTGTGTGAGATGGTCACATAAACATTTTTCTTGGCATTCAAAATTCTCTGAAAGCTTCAGCAACTTTCATACTAAAGAAAAATTTTATTAAAGAAAAAATTTATAATCACAGAATCATTAATGTTGGAAAAGAACTCTAAGATTATCAAGTCCAACTGTTAAACTAACACCACCACGTTTGCCACCAAACCTTATCTCCAGGTGTCACAACTACATGCCTTTTGAACACTTCAGGGATGGTGATTCCACCCCTT